TTCAGGTTCCTGCACACAACAGCATGCATTGTAACTGGGATAGCAGTTAAAAACAACAACAACAAAACCTGAGAAGTTGAAAACCTTGGTGGGAGATGTACGTCCCTCATGGGCTAATGCCACCCACTTGTGGTATTTCTGTCACAGCAGCACTAGAACAGTAAGACACAGGATTTACAATAAATATCACTGGGACTGAAGGTCTTAGAGCAAGGATTTCACTCAGGTAGCTGAGCAGTCATCCCTAAAATGGTTGAAAATAAGAAACAGAAGTTTCTGGAGATCCATCAACCATCTGAAGAGTTTGAACATAAGGATGTGGGACTCCGGCCCAGAGTCTAGGAGGGATTTTGGAGGTCAGATGGAATGAAGGGAGGGCCTGATTTCAACCACAAATCCTTCAGAAGCATGGCGTCTTCATCTACCCCAGAGACACTGTGATCCATCTCAACGGCTCTCAGCTCTCAGGTCAATGTCGTCCTCACCAGCAGCTTTCAGATGCCAGCTGCTGCTTGCGGGCTCCATGTGTGGCATAATGTGTATGACCAATGTGGGGGGTGTCTGTCTACCTGTGGGCTCTGTGTGAGACATGACATGTGTGACTGATGTGGGAGTGCCTCTCTACCTGGGGGTCTGTGTGGCATGATGTGTGTGACCGATGTGTGTGACCAATGTGGGGGTGTATGTTTACCTGCAGGCTCTGTGTGTGGCATGACATGTGTGACCGATGTGGGGGTGTTTGTCTACCCGGTCGCCTTTTTACACCTGGGATCCTCTCCCTCTTCCCTAACATCACCCTTGGACTCTATTTGTTCTCTTCCTTCTTACTCTCCTATCACTCACTCATTCCCTGCCATGGAGGAATTGGTTCTGGCTTGTCCTGACCCCCTCACTGGGTTTCTGAGGTTGTAAATCGTAATCAGAGGAGATTGCTCTTATTTCTCCTATGGAGCCGCTGGTGGATTTGAACCATCACAGGCATGCAGCCTTTGAGTCAACAACACAGCTTTCTACGGACTATGTCACCAGAGCTAATCAGCTTTGATTGGGGTCTAGGGTTCTGCAGTGTTGAGAGGAGTCCTAGGGTAGAAAAATGGGGTGAGTAACAGGCTACTAACCAGCAGGGTGTGGTATGAACCAACACAGAGGCATCTTGGAAGAAAAGCCTGACAATCTACTTCAGAAAGAGCAGAGTCGTAATTAACTCTGTGGAGTCATTTTATTCAGACACTCACGGGTGCGTGAGTTGAAACAGAACAACTGGTTCAGTTCACAGTGAGAACATATCTCCAACGGACTTCCCTCCCCTACCCCCCCTGTGCCCATAGCCCTGCTTGCTGATGAGAGACGTCCATTTCTGGAACCAATCACTTATTTCTGCTTTAATGGGCTAGAGTCTTCTTGCTGGGAAAGCTCCCATGAGGTCCTTAGCTTCATCTTTTTGTTCTTGGAACACGATCTCATTCATGTGGAAGCTCAAATCCCTCTTGATTGGGAAGTCTTGGTTTTCTTTGTGTGAGTCGGGGTCCAGGATAGACTGGCTGAAGGAGGAGGGGCTGTGAGGTGTGCCCTCCCATCCTGACAGGAAGCCTCTCCTCGCGGTGCCTCAGGAGCTGCGGAGCCTCCTGGATTTGCGCTCCCCCCTCCTGTTGCCTGGGAATGTTTGTGGATTTGTGGCTTCCCTTGTAATCAAGAAATCTGCCAAAACCACAGAATTCCTTCTGCCCCAGGGCCAGGCCTCGTCTGAAACCTTAAAAATGCAGCAATACCAGAGTGAGTTTTCCGCAAGTGTGTAAACAAGAGTGTTTTAAGATGAGTGTGTGTGATTACAGGAATTGTAAGTGTGACCCTCCATTAGTCCCCGCTTGGGCTGAGTAAGAAACTTGACACACCAAGGGGTGAAGCCAAGGAGGTGGGAGAGGAAGGGGCAGGATGCGCTCCTCGCTCCCTGGCACAGGACCCATGGCTACTGGGGCCCTAATCCCACAGCAGTGTGCTCAGTTCTCACAGGCTGGGCTTCTCAAACAGCACCTCACAAAGGCAGAAAATTGGGGCGGGGGAGTTGCTGAGGGCCCGGAAGAACCATTAGTTCTGCACCTTCTGTTTCTTCTGGGACACACAGTCCAGCAGGCAAACCAATCAAGGGAAGCTATTTTAAAGGAGCACACTTCATCTAGAAACTATATTCTGAAACGTTCTGATTCTTCCCGACCCCTTCCCTACTCTTCAGGGAAGCGTTCCCCAACACTAAGAGCCAGGGCCAGCCAGCTCCACTGCAACCTCCACGTATGTCCCTTCTTCGCTCTGAAGGAGGCCAAACCTCCGTTTCCTCACCCATTCCAGGGGGCTCTGGTGGCTTCGTGCCCAGGGAGGCACACTGCTGACCCCAAGTCTGTACTTCTCTGACAGTGTGGATACTCCAGCTACTCTTGGAAGGAAAAGGGATCATCTCCTCCCATTCTTGGAAGTCATATTCTTGGAAATCCAGTGGTGGGTTGGCTAAGTGTCGGTTCTGACAAAAATGAGAGAAAGAACATGCAGAAGATGGCAGTGTGGTGTCTGTGCAATGTGTCAGCTTGGCCCCGTTTGAAGTACACTGAACAATTCAGACTATAGTTCCCAGAATTCTGTTGTCTGTGTTTCAGTTTAGGGAAGGCCATAGAAGGGTTCTTGTGGGGTCAAGGGAAGTAGCAGGCTGGTGCTCTGCTGAGGCACTTCCTAGGTATGAGGCTGTGGCCAGGCAAAATATGCTGTATCCTTGGATCTCCTTCAGCTTCCATAACTCCCAGGTTGGGAGTATGAGTTCAGCTCTGTGACAAGAGGTCCTGGCTTCTGCAGACCACCCACCCTACCAACCACAGAAGCTGCAGGAACTGTTATGGGTCCACCCTCATGGTCCAGCTTGTTCTTGATCTCACCAGTTTTCCTTCCCACTGACCCCACTGTAACTTTCATGCTCTAGCATCTAGGGCCAAGATGACCCCCTCACAGAACCTGCTTTACCGGCTCCCTTTACCTCATCTCCTACCCATCTAGTCTGTACCTTTTAAGTTTCACTTCTATCATTTAATGCTGACAGACACAGGTAAGATGTATTTGTGTAGATCATGAGAAGGACTCTAGTGGCTTAGTGGGTAGTGTGTTGTACTGCTAACCAAAAGGCTGCTGCTCCATGAGAAAAAGGTGGACAGTCGCCTTCCATTAAGATTTATAGCCTTAGAAACCCACTGAAGGGCTGGCATGAGTCAGAACTGGCTCAATGATAGTGGGGGTTTTGGTGAAATGATAAGAGATAGAGCCCAGTTACATAAAAACATTTGGCTCCACCAAAGGCAGTGGCTCTGCACTTGAGTGTGTTTATCAGAACCATCCGCAAGGCTTGTGAAAACCAGGCTGATGGATCCCACCACAGAGCTTTTGATTCTCGGCTCTTAGTCACAGCCTGAAAGTTGACATTTGCAGCAGGTTCCCAAGAGATGTTGCTGCTGCTGCTGGTGGTTTGGGCCCACAGTTTGAGAAGCTCCACTGTATGGTGCTGTATAGAGGATAAGGGCTACACAGTAACCCAAACTAGTGCCCCCCCCCAAAGGCAGGAAGCAGCAAAGCCTTCCCCTGTGGGCAGTGGGAATCGAGGGAGGAAGCGCGAAATCTGGTGCACAGCCGCTCCTGCCTGTTTTGTAGGTGGCAGCCTGCGGCCAGTCGGTGAGAGCACAGGCTGACCCAAGTTTGAATCCTAGCCCCGCGGTCCTGAAGCCAGTGTCCTCAGCAGCGGTGCAGATGCATTATGATATTTTCACAAGGAGACCTGCTTGAAGTCTGCAGAGCAGACGCTGCTTCTCTTATTTCAAAGACACACCGGGTCTTTGACTTTTGGACTTTGCCATTGGTGATTTTAAAAATGTGCAGTCGAGTTTGTGACCCTAAGTGCAAGAGTCTGTTACACTTGCCGGTGTTCAGTTTCTTTTAGCTGGTTTTGACCCATTGTTCTGACCAGCTGAGATGCTCCTGCGGCTTGAAGCTGTCATTGGACATATAGTCACTTTGAGAATTAGAGTAGTCTGCCTAAGCTTTTCTCATTAGCATTGCTGATACCATAGCACATATTTTAGAGCAGTAAGGCATAGAAGAACAGGGCTTTCCTCGCCCAGCAGCTTTAGGACACCGACTTGAAGAAGCCATCTTGATAGCTCCCAGTGAGTCTTTGTACTCAGATAAGAAACATTAATTCTTTTAAAAAATAAAATCTTTGAGTGATAGATGAAAGAAGGGCCCTATGTACTAACCCCTGATAGATGAATTGGCACAGTAACTGGGGTAATTGGTGTAGTTGTGTTGAAGTCAGTGAGACTGGCTCAGGATAGGGCAGGATTCAGAGCTATTGTACATGAGTTGCTGTGAGTTGCAGGCAACTAGATATTACATAGCAACAGCAATAACATGTATAACCCCACTGGTATTCTGCCTGCCCAAACATGCACTGGTCCAAGCCTAGGAGCCACCACATCTAAGATTTGATTTTCAATTTCTGGGCAGCCCACGTGGGCAGCTTTGGTGAATTGCTTTTTGACCCTCTTGCTCAGGAACTAAATCTCAAACTCATTGCTGTTGAGTTGAACCTAACCCTTAGTGGCTCTCCATTGGTTTCCAATGCTGCCAATCTTACAGAAGGAGCCTGCCCATCTTCTTCCTGATGACAGGCTGGTGGATTTGAACTGCAGAACTTCTGTTAGTAGCCTGACACGGTATGTACTACACTGTCAGGGATTCTTTTCTCATGAATATATCACCAAAAAAAAGAACTTGGGAACAAATTTCTAATTAAATTTTTATTTAAACAATTTAATATTTCCAAGGCTGAAGTGAACTGAAGTGAGCAACTGGCTAGTTATCTGTCAGCAGAAAAGCATAGTGTTCTCAGAGAGTTGGGGTGACTGGACTGCAAGTCATCAGGCATTTACTCAGCGTCTGTCTCAGATCATTCTGGAAGCACAGCAGCCTCCTTAAATCCGGATTTGCTGTTGTTTCTTCTTCTTCACCTCTGCCCAGATGTCCGACAGGTCTTGGATGTACTGCTGGATCTTACAAGGCAAGGGGACTAGAGTTAAGCTGCCCAGCAAGAGGGCTCCCTCGACCTCAGACAAAAAATCCCTAGCCGTGATATGAAGAGTTGACTGCTCTTCTGGGACTGATGTTGTGAAGAGGCCACATTCCTGCATGCTGCTGAAATCGAATGTCAGGTTTAACAGACCACAGCATGAAGTAAGGACGGACTTGCGAATGTGAAGAGGCACTATGTGAAAGGTCGATGGTTCAACCCCCCAGCCAGGTTCCAGGGGAGAGCAAATGATGGAAAGTTTCCTCCCAGAAAGACTTACAGCCTCAGAAACCTGATGGAAGGTTTCCATGAGTCAGAAAGGACTGGATGGCAGTGGGGTTTGTTAACGGACGTGGCTAAGACAGACATGGTGCTAGAGCAGAAGTGAATTTAGGTGACACATGGACATAGGGTGAAATAACCTGGCATCCTACAGTGAAAAAGTGATTTCCTTTTAGTTTCCTTAAGGAGGAAGTCTCTAATAGGTATGAGTATGGTTTTGATATTTCTCTAAACTTGTCAATTTTTCTTTTTAACAAAATAGGCCTTGAACATAAGCCTTCCACAAGACACAGTATCTGACTAGAAGGTAAAAGAATATTTTCACATGATTGATGAGTTCAATAATGAATCCCCACTACTGCCCACCTTGACTGGGGCCCCATAGGGTCTTAGCTCCAATATGTTGTTGTTGTTGTTATGTGCCATCAAGTCACCTGTGACTCATAGCGACCCTGTGATTCATAGTGACCCTATGTACAACAGCTCTGAAGCCTGCCCTGTCCTGAGACTGTCTCATTGACTCTGACACACCTACCCCCATTGCCCTACTACTGAATCAGTCCATCTCATATGAGGTCTTCCTCCCCTGTGCTGTCCCTCCATCCTTCTGAGCATGATGTCCTTCTCCAAGAACTGGTCCAATATAGTGGTTCCCAAAATGGGGAACCCAGTCCCCCAGTGTCACTGGGGGGGTGGCTGAAAATACAAGCTCTCTGCTCCCATCTCAGATCCAGTGATTCACAGGCATGGGGCTGGGGGTCCAAATTTGTCTCCATTCTAGGTTATTCGGGTATCGGTTTATATTTGAGACTAATTGTTCTAAGGGGAATAAGCTCTGGTCGCACAGTGGTTATAGCATTTAGCTGCTAACTGAAAGGCCAGTGGTTCAAACCCATCAGCTCTGTGGGGGGAAATGTGAAAATTTGCTGCAACTGAGGAGGAACTGAAGCGTCTGTTGCAGAAGGTCAAGGATGGCAGTCTTCAATATGGATTGAAGCTCAGCATCAAGAAAACAGATTCTCACCAGTGGATCAATTGGAAGCAGCATGATAGATGGGGAAGAAATTGAGATTGTTAGCAATTCAGCTTGCTTGGGTCCACAATTAACACTCTTGGAACCAGCAGCAAAAAAAAAAAAATAAAAAAAAAATCAAAAGATAAATTGCACTGGACCTCTCTAGAGTGCTGAAGTGCAAAGATGTCAGTCTAGAGACTAAGGTATGCCTGATCCAGGCCATGGTCTTCGTGATTACTTGATATGTGTTAGAGGGCTGGACAATAAATAAGGATGACAGAAGAACTGACGCCATTGAGTTGTAGTGCCAGAGAATAGTATCAGACATGCCATGGACTGCCAAGAGAACAAACAGGTCTGTCCTGGAGAGGGTTAAACCATATTGTTCTTTGGAGGCAAGGATTTTGAAGCTCCATCTCACATACTTCAGGCAAGTTGCCAGGACAGACCAGTCCTTGGAGAAGGACATCATGCTTGGTAGGATGGAGGGACAATGCAGAAGAGAAAGAGCCTGAATGAGGTGGATTGACACAGTAACTGAGGTAATGGGGGCAGGTAAGTCAGAGACAGTGAGACTGGCTCAGGATAGGACAGGATTCAGAGGTCTTGTGTATAGTAGTTATGAGTCACAGGTGACTCCACGGCACATAATAACAACAAACTTTGTGGGATAATTCCACTTTGTCCTTTTTGGGGGAGGGGGAGGTGTCTCATGGACTCCTAAAAGAATGAACAAATATGTCTTGGGAAAAGTGCAGCCAGAGTGCTCCTCAGAGGCACGAGTGGTGAAACTCGGCTCACAGGGTTTGGGCATGTTGTCAGTCCTTGGATAAAGACATCATGCTTGGAAAGGTAGAGGTCCAGGGACGGAGAGAAAGAGCCCCAGTAAGATGGTTTGACACAGTGAGTGTATCAATGGCTCAACTGTATCACAGATGATGAGGATGGAATGGCAGGGCGAGGTTCTGATTTGTTTTTCATAGGGTCGCTATGAGTCTGTAGTTAATGTGATGTCACCTAACCTACAAGGAACAGGAAGCAGGAGTGGCATCCACTTCCTAAACAACGTGCCTCTGGAAACTCTATGAAGATTGATAAATGACGATAGTTACAGAAAGGCTTCAGGCCTTTTGTTCATAGGGTCGCTCTGAGTGATGCACGACTCGACAACAGTCAACAATAACTACAAGAAGTTAGACTTGGAATGGACTTGATGGCAATGGGTTTGAGTTTGCTTCATTGCGCCACTCATGAAATCTAGAACCTTCCAGGCCAGCCCACTCAGCCATTCTAGGTGCGATGTGTCTCCTACTACCATGTCCAGCTGCTTATGCGTGTCCTCCAGGGACACAACAGTCGAATCCTTCAGCTGCTTGTTGACGATCTGGAAGAGGTTCAGTGTGGCTATCTTGATGGTGCCCAACAGGAGGGTTTTCTTGGCGGCAGTGTTCTGGATGTGAGCCCAGCGAGATTCCTGGGGAGGGACAGCATGCGTGGTGAGGACCCACGTGCAACCCTGGGGCACCCGGAGGGCTCGTAACCCTCACGCACCCACCCTGCGGCCCCAGGTGGCAGCCGAGCTCCTCACCCAGACGATGACGTCGCTGCGCGCACGGTCAAAGCGCATCTGCAGCTCCGCCAGCTCATTGTTGTGCTGCAGGATCTCATCGTTCTTCTCCTCCATGTAGTGGACCAGCCGCGCCTTGGCGCGCTCGATCTTCTCTTGGCCTTGCTGCACCGACTGCATGAGGTCGTGGTGCATGCTCACCAGCGTCTTGTAGCGCGCAATCACCTCATGGATCTCCTCAAACTGTGGCAGGAAACGTGGGTCACCGCGGTGCCAAGGGACCAGCAGCTCAGCCGCCTGGCAGGGATACCCTGGGCCGGGCGCAAGGAGCGAAGGTGGTGAGGGTGTTGGGCCCAGCTCTCCCTTGTTTGTGATGGACCATGCTCTATATGTTGAGCAGAGTACAGCTGGGGAGGGAGTTAGCAACCTTGGCTAGACGTTAGAATCCCAGAACCAAATCCATTGCCATGGACTTGATTCTGACCCACGAGGAAACTTCATGGTTTCTGAGGCTGCCAACATTTGTGAGAGAAGTCAGCCTCATCTTTCTCCTGCAGATGCACTCTAAGTCTGGTGGCCTGGGGGTGAAGAGCTGAGCTGCTGACCCAAAGGCCCACAGTTCATATGCACCAGTTGCTTCATGGGGGAAACATGGGCAGTCTCCTCCCACGCGATTTACTGCCTCTGAAAACCCACTGAAGGGTCAGCTCTGGGTTGGATCTGACTCTACTGCACACAAGTGCTTACTAGCAGGTTACTAGCCCAACATTTTGCTTACTATCCTGTACTAGGAGACTTGACAAAGACATCTGCTGAGTCCATCCCTAGAAATTTGGATTAATAAACAGATTTGAGATGTCTGGGGGAAGCCACAGGCCCTTGGGCCAAGAAAAGCCTATCTACACAGCAATTTTACAGGACGCATCACCTTTGACCGATAAATATTGCGACTAAACTTCAGAGACACTGATCCCAACATAAGGAACTACCATCAGCTGATGTGTTTGAAATCACAGAAGCCATGGAAGCTTCATATATAAGTTATTAGATGGAGGGCTGGTGAAAGGGAGATAGATGTGAAGGGAGGGGGTAGAAGTGGATGGATAT